GCCACCAATATTAAATCCATGACTACAGACAATGCTTTTCCTGCTCCCCCTCTCATCCCCCCCTCCCCACATCTAAATCCCCAGGATTTCCCTTCACATTTTTCTCTCAAGTCTAGTCAATGGATGTGCCTGAAGTAAGTACTGAGGAAATTCTCACCACAAAATAGTCTTACCATAGAATGGCTAATACATGATGTGTTTACTGCTATTCACATTATAAAATAAAATAAGCTCATTTTCCTATTTATTCACATGTTCACCCTTTGCCCACCATCATCACCACTGGCATCAAGAGATCTTAATAACATAGCTTTGCCTTTGAAAAGAAGAGATTCAATTCTGTACAATCACCAATGTATACCGGGTTTAAATGAGGGTCAGGGGGGCAGAATATATCCGTCCACTGTCTCTTATTGAACTTATGATACATGTTTTCTTTTTATTCAGCATTTAAAAGCATAGGACTGCCTACATAAGTTCTACCCAGTCCTTATGTTAGGTCAAATAAGCCACCCCTTGCATGTGTCTCAGTAAAACTGTATACATGTATTGGAGCTACATGGCTGGCAGAAACACAGACAGTTACTTCAAAACCACAAAGAAGTGGGAGCCCAAAGAATTCCTTTCTGCAATTCAATAAACAAGAGGAAAGATGTACTGTTTGCTGGCTCAAAATAGACACTAATTTTACATCTGTCTCTGAGGCACAGCAAAAAGCCAACTAAAGAGCAGTAATAAATGTCCAAAAACAGCATCAGTATCCAAAACTCTCCCAGTCATCTTCAGAGGAATTAATTACAATTCTGTGTAACAGTTGCATTGGCAAAATGCACCCATAATTATATACAGGTACTGTACTGTGTTACAGAGAAATTTGCCATGTGATACATGTTTACATGGTAATTGATGGATAAGATAAACTATTTGCATATGAAGTGCATATGAATTATTGGCATGACTCACCATTTTATGTGGAATTATATTAAAGTTTCATTTTCTCTAAAACTGTATGTGTAATATGGGGTTACCAAAGGGTATAAAGCTGATACTTAAATTTGCTTTATAGCAAATGGGCCTGGAAAGATATATCTAAATGTGCATTACTAAAAACCTATATTTAAATGGCTTAATAGTTTATCTATGTAATAAGCATTATTTTCACTTCACCAGATTGCTTTATATTAAATCCTTTCTATTCTTCCTCCTAAGCAAACAATACTTGTAATTGTATCACTATATGAATTGATTTTACAATCATATGCAAAACAAATAACGATTTCTCTTTATTGTCTATTGATATAACTTTTTTTCCCCCTTCAGATTTTTGTATTCTGGTGACATGTAACGGAACAGTAGCAAAAAGTGACATTTTTATCATGTCTATACCTGCTGGAAAATTTTAGCATTTGCAAAAATGGTCTATCATAGCATTTAAACATTGCTGATAATTAGCTTGACATTTGAAATACCAGAACTGTTGTTTTGAAGATGCCCTATACAATGTTACCTAACTAACCTCTTTTCATACGTATATGCTCTCTCTACATTATTCTGTCAGTTATAGTACAAATAAGATATTGGCGGCTAATGTACTAACATGCAACAGAACTGATGTGAAGGGGTGATACTTTATTTCCCAGAAGCGGAAGTTTCACCGATGTAAAGGGGAATTATATATATGGATTAGAGACAGTTCATTGCTAATCAGGTGGTCAGTTATGATTTCCTATAAATCCACCCAAGCTCAGTGTGCCAAGACTTCAGTCTTTCAATGCTATCACCAAACACTTATTAAATACCTGCAATGTGGTAAGTCCAGAGGATACACACAGGTGCTGGTCTCACCTCAGGAAACTTACTATCTATTTGGAGAAATAGCAGCATAAAATTGGAGCTCTAGAAGGCACTTGAAGTCAACCTTTGACATGTGACCAGGGAGGTAAGTACAGGCACAAGGGCAAGTGACTTGTCTAGGGCCCTGCAGCCAGTTGGTGGCAGAGCTAGAAGGCACATCTTTCAGTCACACAAAAACATACGTAATAATACAAATCCCCAGTGAAGCAGGCGATCTAAATTTAAACTCTGCCTGGCCAAAGAAAGGGAATGGAAATCCCTGGGACTTTGGGGGATTCTTGTGCCGCAAAATGGAGATGGTCGCTTAATTTTAAATTGTTTTGATGATTGTAATTTTCAAGGATCCCCTTAATTTGAGTTACAGAAGCCTACCAATTTGATCAATTACCCAAATCTAACAATACACCCGTGTTTCCTGCAAGAGTTTGAAAACAATAGCAATAAAGAGGCACTTCCCAGAATTATGAGCTTGAAGACCTGTCTTATTGCCTCAGTCCCAACAAGTAACCAGCTGTGTGGCCTTGGCTCTACCACCCAAATGAGCTCGACGCAAATGGGCAAAAACGCTAAGGGATTCCGTGACTATGCGATGGCCCCAGGAAGCCTATGAAGTTGTATAAAACACTGAAAACCCCTGAAATAATAA